GCTAAGATTTTGGCATATATTTTAAGATCTGTATTTAGTAGTGAGATTGGTCTAAAATTTTGGGGGCAGTCAGGAGTTTTTCCCGGTTTAGGTAGAGTAACAATAATAGCCGTCAACATTTCAGGTGGAAATGTGGATGTAGACACTGTTTCGTTGTGAGTTCTTTTAAGATGAGGTACTAAAATAGATTGGAATTCCTTATAGTATTCTGCAGTAAAGCCATCCGCCCCCCGGGATTTCCCTTCAGGCAAGGCTTTGATAGTACGCCATAAAAACACTGGGGAAAATTTTAAGGACTCCTCAATGCTTAGTGAGATAGGTGCATGATCCGACCACATCATAGGGTGAATTTCAGCACTGGAGACATTTTGTAATAGTTGGATATCCATCAAGAAGATGTCTATTCTCGAGTAAGATTTGTGGGGTGCAGAGTAATGCGTAGTCTCTTTCAGATGCATGTAGACATCTCCAGGGATCATACAGATTGGCTTCAGAAAGCACATTAGCTAAAGAATGTCTCAAGCTGCGAGAGGGATGGGAAACATCTAAGGAATTATTTATAATAGCATTGAAGTCTCCACAAAATAATAGGAAGCTCTTCTAAATTTTAGACACTTTTTTCGGCAGAGAATTGAGAAAGTGGATCTGGTGCACATTAGAGGTTGATTATGGTGTAGGTGATATTATTAATTTCGCACACAATAATTAGGTATCTACCTTTGTTGTCAGACACTTGGGATAACAACGAGAATGCAACAGAATTGCGAACTGCTATAAGAACGCCCACATTTTTTATCAGGACCATTAGACATAAAAATATGTGGAAACATATGGTGTGAGCAGTGTGGTGCTTTAGTAGATGCAAAATGGGTTTCCTGCACACAAACCACATCTCCAGCCAACCATTGTGCTTCTCTCTACATAGAGTGGTGTTTAAAAGGGCTGTTAAGGCCATGGGTGTTCATAGAGATTATTTTCAAGACCATGATGGTTTTAGGAAAAATGATGAAAGGTTGCCCTCATGTGGTGCAAATGGGAAATGCATGGTAGGATAGATAATCCAAATGGGTAAGCTTACAAGAGCCAAAGTGTTCCGGCAAGGAGAAAAAGGTGTCGTCCACTTAGGGTGAGAGGAAGTCAATGTATGTTTATTCCACAACTTGCTGATCAGGGTGCTCTGTGAAAAAAGGTTTGGAAAAAAGGAGAAAAAAAACTTGTAAAGAGACGAAAAGAACAGTTAGCATGAAACTTTGTGTGAAATTAATCACTACGATAGGTGGGGGGTTTCCGAGCCGAGAAGCGCATTTCACTAAATTGCTGTCTAAGTGCACAGCGGGTATGCAGCAAATAATTAAGAGGCATGGAGAAGTAGCGACATGGCGCATCCTCCTGCTACCTGTTCCCATTCAGAGGTTATTTTCCTGGGTGAAGCTTTAGTAGGCGCTGGCATTTCATCTGTTGGTAGAAGGCCCCATTTTTTGGCTAACTGGAATCCCTCTTCTTTAGAGTTGACCGTGAGCACACGGTTATCTTTAGTGATAATTTGGTAGGGAAACCCCACTGGTCGTTATTGCGTGAAGGAGAGCAATTTTTTGCGGGCTAATATGGTATGTTGTAAAGATCTGTGAATAATGAGATCCCAGTGTAGGGGGCAGGAAGTGGAGTATTTTTCCGAGCAAATAGCATTAATTCTTCCTTGACATGATAAAAGTGAATTCTCACTATTGTGTCTCTGGGAATGTGATCAGGGAGAAATGAGGGTTTTGGCAGTCTGTGGGCCCTATCCACCACTACTTCCCTATTCGGAGCGATGGTAGCAGTGCAGAGATCATTTGTTTATTTGCGGAGTTCCGCAGCAGGTATATTTTCACCAATGCCCCTGAATTTCACATTCCTGCAAGAGCAGTCCTCCAGATCCGTTAATTTCACCTTTAAAGCTCTCACAACTTCTTCAGCCTCGTTGTGTGCGTCAACTAATTCATTATGAGCTTTAGCAAATTCGCCCATTTTAGTTTCCACACGTGTGACTTGCTCCCCTAAACATTCAACATCCTTGTTAACTTGCGCCACAAATCCCATATCTTTATGCAGGGAGCCTTTGAGAGTAATTAACATATCTTTCATCCTTGCAGCAGTAAGGGGTAAGGACTCTGTGGGGTAATCCTCCAGGTGTTCAATGAATTCACTGGTGGTATTATGTGAGAATGAATTTGTGTTTAACTGCTCGCTCAGAGAATGCACATCTGCAGAGCAGCGTTGTCTGTGCTTCTGTGGGCTGCTTGAAGGGGATGAGAGTGCAGAGCCTGCAGTCACTGCTGAGCTGGATGTGTGTAGGGGAGAACTGTGACCATCCCCCCTCACATGTCCCTGGAGCTCAGGAGAGGGACAGTGATCATCGCCATATTGAGGGGAGGGGCTGCCCGCTGGAGTGAAGAACTCTGTCAATTTGCGGGGGCCCCTCCTTATTTTTCCTCTTCCCCATGTAGCCTCCTGTGTGCCCCCTTCACTTAGAGGGCTTACTGTATTGTTGGCGGGTTTACCCGCTGCCCCGTCGCTTTGTTTCTCCGCGGATCTCGGCAGCTCCTGGAGCTCTCTTACAGAGCAGCCATCTCCATCCGCTGCCGGCCACCCCCCGCAAACAAAATCTTTCAAATAACATTAAAATGTTCTGGGAATTTTTCATAAGATTTTTTTTGACTTTTCCTATGAAATTCTATCCATCTATGGCCAGCTTTAGACATTTTTACTACTATGCTTTTCTTTCCACCATTTGCTTTATAAATCAGGCTCAGTATTTGTATTTTAGTTGCTTACTATCTCTTTTACCAAAGATTATATTAAGCATGTTGAAAGAAACATACAAACCATGACAAATCATATGATACAACGTGACATCAGACAATAGACGAATAAGGAAACATCATACAAAAACACAGAAATACACGAGGCCAGTTCCTTACTATTTCAAAGGAAGAGGTTTGTCATTGTCATGTTTTCTCAAGTTTCACAGTTTTGATATATGTGTAACACCCTGCAGAAATACTGGCTGCAGGATGCTAAATGGACACAGCTGCAGCTCAGTTATAGCGAAATTGAAGAAAAACGTTGTTGGACTTGAAGGTTGATAGCAGGGCTTCCTTCTTTAATGAGCTAACAAACTACATTTCCCAGAAGACCTAACTAATGGGTGGGGGCAGATAAAACCAGAGGACAGGAAGTGGCTGGTGAGAGCTGGAGAGCAGGTGTGAGGGAAAAGCTGTGGGGGACGCTGGAGGTCCAGGCCACAGAGTGTGAAGGCATGAGGAGGAGGAATTGCTGACTGACGACACCACTGACAATCCTGCGAGCAGATGAACTGGAAAGCTGTCCAGACTGATCTCTGGAGGAGGAACCATGAGGAAACGAGGGCCCCCATCTACAGAGAGACCATCCACCACCTGACCGAGGTCACGGATTGGGTGACAGAATCCCATACTACCATTGTTTCTCAAGTTACCTGTGTTAAGGCCCAAGTTGTTCAGCCTACTTGTTAGTACAGTTCCAGCATATCCAATCCCAAGGGTCTACTGCACTATCTCCCCTCCGCAGGCCCAGTTGTATTATTGCTCCCCTTTACAGTCACCCCCCCATTCGCCAAGGTACTCTTTCTTTGCTGTAATCTGCCACAGTGGTCCAAGGAAGAACTACAGAAGTGTGTCTCTACCCCATTTTGATATCTGCTAAATTTTGCACCTCACCCTGTAAGGATACCATTCAAAGCCAATATATTTTAAAGGGACAGCTCCACCCTCCATTAAGGAATTTCTACCCTTTGCCGCAAGTGAGATTTGAATCCTCTGTGCACCAACTAGGGCCCCATCGAGCACACCAAAGGTCTGACACTGCAGTTAAAGAGACATTGGCCTTAATAATTGATGAGCTCTTTTTCTCAGAATCAGGCTCAGTCCTCAGGAGAGTCCAAAGTGAGTTAGTCTCTTTGCGTGGTAGTTTTTTTTTTTTTCACTCACTGGGGAAGAAACATCTCAGGACTGAGGTTATCACTTAAAATCTGAATTGCAGGACTTCTAGAACTGATTGAGATTGTGCTGTGTTGTGACCCTCACTTGAAGTTACTATGTGCATGACAAATTATCTCATGCACATAGTTTCCAGTTGCTTTACTGTGCTTATATTTGAGCTCAATACAACCAGAATATCAGATTACTTTAAACGGTGTGCAAGTCTATTTTAATGTTTTCAGAGGATTCTTCTGGTCAGAGGTTTAAAGTGGTGTCAGCAGGGGTTGAACTTCCAGAGTAGGATCAAGAAAGACAGGGCACCCAAAAATTACTCAGCTGCCCCTGAGGGGGTAGTGCTACACATATATTTATGGTGTATTTCTGTGAAGTTAATATACATTATTAGAGCACATTTATATTCCCAACATTTTATGGGCTGGTGTTGCTGCAAGTAGCTGTATTTGAAAGGTGACAATTGTGCCAGTCTGAGTTCTTTGGAGTTCAAGGGTGCAGTCCTTTGCCAGGCTAATACCAGCCAGCATACCCTCCAGCATTTCAGGTGTTTTGAGATTGTCAAAGGGGAAACCCCATCCCAAAGTACCAATGCAGACAGGCAGCAGGCTCTTTCACAGCCACTATACCAAAGGATAATGTGTCATCTGTGCTACTCACCTGTTCCCCATAGAAAATGTGTACCTGGCTACTTATTTGTAAACTAGTTAAAAAGATAGTTTGGGCCTGTAAATAATTTTGCTATGCATGCAGGTAAGCAACAGTTCAAAATAAAACACATACACAGTGTAAAAAGTAGGTTTTAATTTTTTAACCACCTCCCGCCCGCCATATAGTAATATGACGGACGCAAGGTGGTTCTCTCATTCTGGGAGGGCAGCTCCCGGAGCGCGCAGTGCGGCGATCAGCGGTGAGCTGTGTCCCTTGGACACAGAGGATCACCGATCCACGGAAAGAGCCGAAGATGTCGGCTCGGTCATGTGATCAGCTATGTCCAATCACAGTTGATCACATATAAACAGGGAAATGCCGTTTATCTGCATTTTTCTCTCCCCACGAGTTGTCACGCTGACAGCTCATGAGGAGAGGAGAGCCGGTAATCGTCATTCCTCGGAGGGGACATGTACACAGATCATCAGAGCACTGATGATCAGTGTTCCTTGATGATCTGTGTAGCCCCAGCAGTGCCACCTGTCAGTGTCCATCAGTGCCAGCTCTCAGTGCTCATCCATGCCACCTGTCAGTGCCACATTTCAGTGCCCATCAGTGCCACATCAATGCCACATATCAGTGCCCATCTGAGCTGCCTTTCAGTGTCGCCCATCTGAGCTGCCTTTCAGTGTCACCCATCAGTGCCAGTCAGTGCTGCCAATCAGTGCAACCTATCAGTGCCAGTCAGTGCCGCCTATTAGTGCCACCTATTAGTGCCATATATGAGTGCTGCCTTTCAGTGCCCATCAGTGATGCCTGTCAATGCCCATCAGAGCCACCTACCAGTGTCTCGTCATCAGTGCAGCCTATCAGTGCCCATCACTGCAGCCTCATTAGTGCACATCAGTGAAGGAGAAAAATCACTTATTTAAAAAATGTTATAAACAAAAACTAAGAAAAAACTTTTTTTTTTTTTTTCAAAATTTTCAGTGGTTTTTGGTTTAAGAAAAAATAAAAAACCCAGGGTGATTAAATACCACCAAAATAAGGCTCAGTCACAAAAAAATGATAATAATTTCATATGGGTACAGTGTTGTATGACCGCTCAATTGTCATTCAAAGTGCAACAGCGTTGAAAGCTGGAAATTGGCCTGGGCAGGAAGGGGGTATAAGTGCCCTGTAGGCAAGTGGTTAATTTAACTTATCGAACTCAAGCAGTATCCAAAATTTCTTGCAACAGATTTTTTTTTATTGCTGATTTCTAATGGCTGAACATATACTTTCCTCCCTATCTTAGTTTCAATATCTTTTAGCGAGAAAAATAAAACAGCAAAAATACATATAGACAACGATGAATCTTAATCAATTACACTGAGCAGAATAGTACAGAATATTTGTAAACAAAGAATACGTTAGTAAATGTGTGTCTTTTTTAAAGTGGATCTGCACTCAAAGTAGAGGTTTTGCATGATATAGGGATCATAGAAAAGTTAACTGTGACTTGTCTAGAATGTCTCCTGAAAAACAACATAAGAGTGTGCATGGGTAATCCTGTGCCTACAGCCTCAAAGCTGTATATATACATTAAGGTATCACTGCCTCTGATTGATAGTACTGGGAGATTTGTTGAAGTTGCCACTGTGCTGCTTACTGTTCTCCTTCACGGAGGCTCTATCATGAAGAAGTCCTGCTCAATCCTAATGACAAGCCCTTTTCTCTCTGCCTTTTTTTCCCCACAGCACAGCTTTCAGAGTTCAGTTCTCTTTTTACACTATTAAAATGATAACCAAGCACTTACAAGCTACATCTTAGGCCCTACCTTGTGTTTGTTACCTAAAATTGGTCATGTAAGTGCACTATTTAAGAGGGGAGAGGCTGAGTTCCAGCCTTGCTGTGAGTCTTGCACAGTAGTACAGGCTCCTTTCCAGTACTGAAAATGTGTACGCTGGCTTCCCTACACACTGTGAACTTCTCACAATGAGCACTAGAAGCTACAGAAAGCTTATCTGAGCTCTATCTGAGCACATCTCATTTCCTGTCTGGAGGGCATACGGCATCATCAAACTCTTTTCCTCCCCAACTTTACTGTTCCTGATCCATTCCTTTCATTTGCTGGATTTGGGTACAATCATGGAGACTCAGCATCACGTGTTACCTAGGGCAGTCTGCATGTAAATGCAGTCTACCTAGGAACGCCCACTTATCCAGACTGCACCCATCAAGGCATTCTAATATTTGCATAATTCCTTCCAAGAGCAAGTCCATCATCTGCCTGAATTGTGCAGAGTAGCACACAAACACAGTGGTGGTTTGACTGGGTCTAAATAAGGTTTGTAGTGAAAACAGGTTTATTTAAACACATCAATAGCATGTTGATGGGGGGAGGAAAAGCGCAACAGGTATCAGGGAAGGCAAAATATAAGCATATTAAAATTAAGCTAGTTGTAAGGCTTCATGGTAGATCAGTAAAGAGCAGGCCCGGACTGGCCATAGGGCATATTGGGCATTTGCCCGGTGGGCTGGGGCTTCTTGGATAGGAGAGGAGGCCAGGAAGCACATAGAGGACTGTGCATTTCTCGGTGCCTCTATGTTCCGCCCAGCCACCTCTTCTATCCATCTCCTGCAGGCTGCATGCCCTGGGCTCCTGAATGCTCCCCCAGCGGCTGACCCCCCCATCCCCTGGAGGACTACGGGGGATCTGTCAACATATGCCATCCTCAGTGCTGACAGTTCCCCCACCACCACAGACGGAAGAGGAGAAAGAAAACTGCCCCTCCTCCTCCCACCCTCTCCTCCTGTGCCTGCCCCGCCCACAGCCAGCCTTCTGTCTTTTCCCGCCCCCCCTTCTTTCTTTCTTTACTTGTCTCTGTTTCCTGTTTCTCTCCTTTCTCCTCCTTTCTTTTTTTTCCTTCTCTCTCTCTCCCTCGGTCTCCTGCTTTCTTCCTTCCTTCTTTCTTTCTTTCCCTCTCCCCTCCTTCCTTCTTTCCCACATGCTATATTTCTCTTTTTATTTCTCTCTCTCTCTCCCCGCTTTTCTTCCCCCCCCCCCCCCCTTCTTTTGCTCCTTTCCTTCCTTCTTCCTTTCTATACATCTCTCTTTCTCTCTCTCCCTCCTTCATTTCCTTTTTTCCCTCCTTCCTTTTTCTTTTCCTCCTTCTATATGTCTGTCTTTCTTTCTCTCTGTCTTGCTCCTTACTTCTTACTTTCCCTCCTTCTTTCCCTCTTTCCTTTCTTTCCCTCCTTCCTTCAAAAAAAGTAAAAAAAAAAAATATATAAAATTTAACCACTTGCCTACCAGGCACTTATACCCCTTCCTTACCAGGCCAATTTTCAGCTTTCAGCGCTGCCGCACTTTGATTGACAATTGCGCGGTCATGCAACATTGTACCCATATGAAATTTTGATCATTTTTTTCTCACAAATAGAGCTTTCTTTTGGTGGTATTTAATCGCCACTGGGCGCTTTACGTTTTGCGCTATAAATAAAAAAAGTGCAAAAAATTTGAAAAAAAAAAAGTTTATTTGTTTCTTTTATAAAATTTTTCAAACAGGTATTTTTTCTCCTTCACTGATGTGCGTTGATGAGGCAGCACTGATGGGCACTGATAGGCGGCACTGATGGGCACTGATAGGCAGCACTAAAGGGCACTGATAGGCAGTACTAATGAGGTGGCACGGATAGGCGGCACTGATAGACAGCACTAATTAGGGGTCATGGATAGGCGGCACTGATATGCAGCACTGATAGGTGACACTGATTATGGGTACTGATAGACGGCACTGACTGGCATCCCTGCTGGGCACTGACTGGCGGCACTGACTGGCACAACCCCTGGGCACTGACTGGCAGCACTGCTGGGCTGCACTGGTGGGTGGCACTGCTGGGCTGCACTGGTGGGTGGCACTGGTGGGCACAGGTGGGTGGCACTGGTGGGCACAGGTGGGTGGGCACAGGTGGGTGGCACTGCTGGGCACATGTAGGTGGCACTTCTGGGCACAGGTAGGTGGCACTGCAGAGTGGCACAGGTGGGGGCACTGCTGGGCACAGGTGGGGGCACTGCTGGGCACAGGTGGGTGCACTGCTGGGGACGGGTGGGCGGAGCTAGTGGGCGCACTGCTGGGCGGAACTTGCAGGTGTCACTGCTGGGCACCGATCATCAGGGCACTGATCATCAGTGCCCTGATGATCGGTGCCGATCCCCGCTCTGACAACTGCCGGTTCTCGACAGTACTTTCCTCACGATCTGACAGCGTGAGGAAAGTGTAGCCGAGAACCGGCACTTGCATTTCCCTGTGATCAGCGTGTCATTGGACACCGCTGATCACGTGGTAAAAGGCCGCTGTGATTGGCCTTTTACCACATCACGTGATCAACTGTGTCCGTAGGCCCCCTGGGGCGCGCAGGAGAGCGCGTTCTGGGAGGACGTCATATGACGTCCACCCAGAACTGGCCGGCCGCGGTGAAGCCGTCATTCGGCTATGCGCGGTTGGCAAGAGGTTAAAAAAATTTAATAAAAATTAAAATCTACTTACGCTAGGGGTGGAACTACCAGGGTCAAAAAGGTCGCTCTTCCAACTGGGCCCTGGTATTTCACCACAGGGCTCCAAGGAAAGGGTCCCCAGGCTTTGGACTGCTCAGTCCAAAATGCCAGGACCTATTTTTTGTCCCAGTCCGGGAGGGCCTGGTAAAGAGTGTATGTAAAGGATGTAGTTTCTCTTTTTTGGAATTTTGTGTCTGTAGCAGCCACATTAATCAGGTCACTAGTGGCTGGGAGAGTTTAGTTTACACTTGGGCTTTCCAAAAAAAAGTTTGACATGGTTCCTTACAAAATGTATTTATTACAGCTACCTATTTGGTGCTGCCAATGTATGCAGAGCTTTACTTCTACTGTGCAAAAGTTTTAGGCAGGTGTGAAAAAATTTTGTAAATGGAGAATGCTTTCAAAAATAGAAGTGTTAATAGTTTAATTTTATCAATTAAAATGGAAAGTAAAAGTACAGAAAAAAAATCAACTCAATATTTGGTGTGACCACCCTTTGCCTTCCAAACAGCATCAATTCTTCTACATACAACTGCACGCAGTTTTTGAAGGAACTCGACAGGTAGGTTGTTCCAAACATCTTGGAGAACTAACCACAGATCTTCTGTAGGCTGCCTCAAATCTTTCTATCTCTTCATGCAATCCCAGACAGACTTGATGATTTTGAGATCAGGCCTCTGTGGGAACTAAACTATCACTTCCAGCCTCCTTTTTCTTTTTTACACTGAATATAGTTCTTAATGACATTGACTGTATGTTTGGCATTATTCCCCTGCTGCAGAATAAATTTGGGGCCAATCACACACCTCTCTGATGGTATGGCATGATGGATAAATATCTGCCTGTATTTCTCAACATTGATGACACCATTGATCCTGACCAAATCTTCAACTCCATTTGCAGAAATGCAGCCCCAAACTTGAAGGAACCTACACCATGCTTTACTATTGCCTGCAGACATTCATTATTATAACACTCTCCAGCCCTTTGCTGAACAAACTGCTACAGCCATATATTTAAAATTTGGACTCATCAGTCCAGAGCATCTGATACAATTTTTGCACTCCAGGTCCTGTGTTTTTGTACATAGTTGAGTCACTTAGCCTGGTTTCCACATTGGAACTATGGCTTTTTGGCTACATTTCTTCTATGAAGACCACTTCTGGCCAGACTTCTCTGGACAGTAGATGGGTGTATCTGGGTCCCACTGGTTTCTACAAGTTG